TGTATTAATGCGCCACCTCTCACCGCTGTTGTCGTAATAGTAAGTTCGATCCTCAGGCCTGTAATCGTAGGTGAGCGCTGTAATTAACACTACATGTTATTTCATGGAAAGGAACTGGAGTACAGGTTTTTCTAGTCTGAGATAAAACAATTTCTAGACCGTTGTCTCTTTTATTACCTTCACTGCAAAGTAATGAATGAACCCAGGCCTTGGCTCCTTACCAAGAACTCCGGATTGGAATGTTCCTTGACTGAGCTCGCAAAGGTGTTCGGGATTTCCTGAAGTACCAAAGTTTACTGATTGACAGCTCGGCTCCTTAATGCACGCMAATACACATCCAAAGGCATCAGATACTTCAAGAATCTTGAATACCAACTTAACAGCATAACCTTAAATTGAAAAAAAAGTAATTTTTTTTTTTTCAAACGAGATATTTTTTCAAGTTTCAAAATGKCTTGGAGATTTTTGGATGGCCCCTAGTTCCTCTAACTCAAGTGAATGTCCTTGGATTTTTGGGTTTTTTGTCAGAACTGTATTTTATTTTACCGTTAGTATTTGTGAGTATAAATGAGTCTGTTATCAAGAAATAGTGGCAGCTTTTAGGAATTTAAAAAAGTTATATTCCATGCAAAAAGAGGGAGTTGAGTTTATTCAACTATAGCTTGTGCCACGTTGGCGAACCCATGGATTGAAAATAATATGATAATTATGGACTTTTTTAACGACAGTAGAGAAAGGCTTTCTAACCAACTAAAACCAATACACCAGCGTGAGAAAATACAAACAATATTTCAGTCAAGGTCGCTAAAGTGAATGTCACGTTGCACAGCCCAGATTATAGTTTTTTCTAATCATATTTCCGTTTCAGTCAAAGGTTTTACTGTGAACACTGTTGTTTAACAGAAATGAATACGATTAAACATATCTTAACAGCCCCCCCCCCTCCCCCCAGTAATAAGCTCCACCGATTATAAGCCGCACGCGGGAAAAACCCTTACGAGCTTGTATGAGCCCAGGTCTTATGACAGTAGGGTAGGTGCACAAAGAATGCAAATGAAACTATGTCTAAACTAACAGCCATCTTGAGAAGTGGTGTCACTTTCCAAGGATTTGCAGAACCGAGAAGAAAAGAAGTAGAGGAAAATCATGATCAATAATCCAATAACCAGCCTAGAATTTGCTAGTCTCCCCCACAGCCGCTTTCAGTGTCGTCACGCAGCGCTTTCTCCCCTGAGTAGCTACTCAGGGGAGAAAGCGTTGCGTGACGAYACTGAAAGCGGCTGTGGGGGAGACTAAGAATTTGCAGAAGCAAACACATCAAAAATCCAATAATGGGTAAGCGATAATTGAAATGCTAAAGTTTGCAGATGGGAAAGGGTAATTAAAAGAATGAGTCATTTGTCGTTACGATACCGGAGCGAATTTGTATACAGTTCTTCACATGGGGCGTGTATTTGACATATTGAAGTTAATTTATTTGTTTATTAAAACTCGTAAGAGCTCAATTACACACGGCGACGATCAACAGCGATGATATTTCATGTCTTAACATGTTGTTATATGATTTTAAGCATGCGCATCGTAGCGCAGAACAGATGCAAGACAATAATTATGGAAAACGTTGGTCGAACTGTTTTATGGTGGCATGATGATGGTAGGACACCATGCCGCGAACAGTTTGTATGCATGGATGACTTAACGACGCCCTGTTGAACTGGCTGAGGCGCAGATGCCCAAAGGAAGCTTTTCAAGATCCAAATAATAATCAAAAGAATAAAGAGACCACCGCTCCAAAGGCACTTGCCCTTCTTCTTCCAGCGATTTGAACATCACGATTCAATACCATCTTTGGTCTTTTTCATCTGAAGTTCAGATCAATGGCGAAAGTTCTTCCGAAATATATTAACTTTGATCAACACATTGTAGAGTAATAGTTCGAGGGTTTTTCCAAAATCGCTCAAAAACGAAAAAAAAAATTCTTCAATTTTATCGGTCATCGAAACAATCACTGGGTTGATATAACTCAGGGAACGGCTAATTTATRTAACACACAGAAACCAGAGAAAGCCCTTGAATCAAGTGAAAAGAGGAATCAAACCCAAAACCCCAAAGAGGGGAGGTCTAGAGGCGAGGGTACAACCGCTATACCGCCCTTGACCATCCAAATCCTTACAGATAATGGGCACATACGATATCATGATCAGCCGGAAAAACGAGTGAAATAAAAAAGTCAAAACCAACCTTGGATGCTGGAAAACAATCCTGTTCCCTGATTAGGCTCTCGCTGTATATTTAAGGTGAGATTTTCTTCGCTTTTACAGCCAGAAAAAACAAACAACAGAACAACAAAGCGAATGGAGCTGTAAAAGCTAAAAGCCATTTTTGATCGAGCTAGAGTTCGGTTGGACTTCCTCGGTTCCTTGTTAATCGTATTGTTTCTTCCCACTTCACAAAGGCCATGCAGAATTAATCAAATAACTGTTATCAAATCTCGCGTTCTGATTGGTTGGAGGTGCGTGCTTTATGAYAGCACGCGCATGCACTTTCACTTGCGTCATTCCTATCCAAATAACAGTTATTGTAATTTTTATTTTATAAAAGAAATAAGAAAAATTGTTTGCTGCGCTGGGTGGAGTATAAAGCACTTGAGGTTGGCGGAACGCTCGAGAAATGTCGAGAAGCACAAGTGCACCGCTACGCGTCGACGCTTCTCCTAATATTATATTTTATATTTTACAACCACCACTCCCTGTACGRGGCTCTTCCGTGGGTTCCCTCCACGCGCACTACCACTACACTTTATATTTACAATATACAACACTCAACTCAGATGTTGATTTTTACGGAGGGAGAGGAAACCGTAGAACCCGGAGAAAACCCTCGTGGCATAGGAGAGAACAACACATCAAACAAAATCAATTCACATATGATCCGGTCTGAGCCGGGGCTCGAACCCGGACCACAGCGGAGAGAGGTAAACCACTACGCCCCCATGCCACGCCATATTTTCTCGTGTTCTGCCAACCCCTGCGTGCTTTATAACCGCACACAGCACGCGCGAGCGTTTTCTATTTCTTCCATAAAACTGTCGTCCTCAAAAATTGTTGATAACTCGAGCTTTAGGCAAATGAAAATTAAAAGTTTGATTTTCTGTAGGTAGCTTTATGGTCAAGACAGGCTCACAGGTGAAAGATGATACTTGATCGGTATAATATCTAATCACATGATAAATTGTGAATTATGACAGTTAATTCTTTTTATTAATCGTTTTCTTCTTCTTTAGTCTCTTTTTCTTTCCTTTTTTCTTCTTCTTGTTGTTATCTTTCTCATCCTCCTCCTCCTCCTCCTTCTTCTAGTTTCGTTCTCTTTCTTCCCATTTACGTTTTTCTTTATTTATTTTTCTCTTGTTTTTATTTTACATACTGGCTAGACATAAAACTCACACCTGTTATTTCTGTTATTTCTGTCAGTATTTCTTTCTATACGTTAGTTATTTTTATTTCATTTTTGCACTTCTTGTTGTTTAAAGTGGTTTTTCTTTCATTTTATGATGATGATGTTGATGATGATGATAATCGTACACTACTTATAAAAGTAATAGTTTTACTGATGTTCACCAACGTTAACTGTTTTTTTTCCAATGCTAGTTTATTCCATCTTTAAGTTCATAATCTGCGCCAACAAATGTCTAACYGTCAATAGTCTAGCCGCTTTACTTATACATCAAACGATATGACCACTTAAGGACGTTCATGGGCATTGTACACGCGCATCCTTTCTACACATGAATTTAGTGAGCGTGAGCTAATCATGATGACGTCATTACAATGTTTTGATAAGCAAAATATTATAAAAACGTCTTTAATCTATAGCTCTAAAACGAAGTAGGGCA